TTTTTAATTATTTATTTTGTAACTTGACAGGTAATTGGCAATGCAGTCTGCTTCTTCGTACTATTTATTTTTGTTGTTTTTGTTATTCTCCAGGTCTCTCTCAATTTGTAGAACTTGTTTAAATGCTTAAATTAAGAAAACTAAACATTTTTCCTTTTATCATAAGTGCATCCTGCTCAAATGTTAAAACATTGGCATATAGTTTGTTTTTATATAGCAAAATTAATGTTTTCTAATAGGGTAAACATTTTGCCAATTTTAATTGTCATTTAATAAGTTCTACAGCATTACTTGACAAAACTGAACTAAATGTTCAGAACCAATGAATTCTCTTGTATGAATACAATATTTTCGATTCATTAAAATACCAGAAAATCTCAAATGGGCAACCTCGTTTGTGTTATAGATACATTAAATATATTCCACAGATTCTAAAATGGAATTAGCAAGCAGTTCTGTCAATAAAATTTGGTGATATTAGAGGTTAAAATGTATTGCTTGCTTTCAATATTTTTACATATTTCCTCAACGTCTTGTTGAATTGGAACCGCTATTTTCTTTTTTGGTAAAACTGCTGGAAGTAAAGCAAGGCACTTTTTTTTTTAGTGTTTGTTGTTGAGAACAATACTACACAAATGGGCTTTCTAGATTGTGCCCACTGCAGCTATCAGAACCTGAATTTTAGTTTTATAAGCTACAAAGGGGTTTTCATTGTGTGAATGTTTATTTGTAAAAAAAAAAAAAAAAAAAAAAAACGCCCTAACATATCTTGTTTTTTTTTACCATCTAGTAACTTATTATTAAATGCAAAAAAGTGCTTACATTTTTCACACTGTTGAGTTTAAATAGTACACTTTTTTGTTTGATAATATTAATTTTTTCTACCAACATTAAATTCTGAGTGTTAAGTATTGATTATATTTAACAATTTCAATTTTATTTATTTAACGGGCTGTCTTGCAGTAGTTGTTTTCATTATGATTGTCAGAATATTGTTTTTTTTTAATATTATTGAAAACTAATGAGAATTTTGCGTTTTCACGTTGTAAGTCCCTTATTGCGACTCTAAAAGTATTGGTTTCGTTTATTCAAAATATATGGTTAAAACTTGTGTGGTTTTGAACATTTTCTACAACGTCTTCAGTGTATGGAAGCCAGAGACTCGAACAGCAATGAAGAGAGGTATGAATCGCGATGATGTTGTTCAATAAGAAGACTGGTTTTAAAGTTGGGTTGGGCATGGAGTAGAAGTAAAGATGTAAATATTTGTTCGGAAACAACTAATGTTGATATAACACAATGTATTGTGTGCCCATTGTTATGATATACAATTTACCTTTTTTTTTTCATAGTTGTTAAAGATATTTGGTAACGGATACTACCCATTTCTATTGGTCGATTTATTAAACATTGCAATGTGGGGAAGGACTTCATCTTGTTCTTTCGTCAGTACAAGAGGATTCCTTGGGGTATCTTGTAAACACATAATATTACCATAAGCATAACGACATTAATAGCTGTTACCAATATTACAAGAATTTTACATGATCATAAAACTATTTCTGCAGACTTGTGTGCAACAAACTTCTATAGGTTGATATAACGATGAACAACAATGAAACTCGTTGCATCACATATGCGGTAAGATTATTTTAAGAATTTGATAGTTTTGTTTTAAGACAGTTCTGTGTAAATTCTGGATTTTTATTAATATAAACCACTATACAAATTACATGTGCGATAAAACAAAAATGTTCATGATCTGTATAAGGCTGAGGATGTTAGGTGAGAACAAATACTGCCATCTTTTCCGTCAGTCTTCGCTCATCCATAACCTCTTCCACAGACTTTTATGTTTTCCCATCTGAAAATTTTCAATATTAAAACACAGTTGAGAAAATGAAATTAAAACAAGAATTTGTCTTCAGCTCAAACATCTTAGCATTGAAGTTGTAAATAGAGCACCATCATTCATTATATATTTTTAATGGTGTGATCTTCTCGAGCGTTATATACATGTGTATGAATGTGTGTGTGTGTGTGTGTGTGTGTGTGTGTGTATATTCAAAGCACCGCTAGCTTCGAAGTATACTATTTTTTTTTACTAATTTTTTTTTTTTTTTTTTCGGGAGGTTCGTTACGCTTTCGTTCCGTTAACATTGCTATTCAACCAACGACTCTTCTTATGGTGCTAGATGTTCAGGAGTATACGTTTTAATATATATTTATTACAAGTCATGGAACTTTATCTAGGCGTAGTTTGCGTGCAAGTAAATAACATAATTTGTTATGTCTACGTAGTGTACGAACTTGTAAAAAAAAAAAAATAACTGTATACCCGCCAAACCAATGGTATAGGTGCTGAAATAGATAGTTTAGTGTACAACACGTCTGAAAACTGAAGAGAAATTGTAGTATAAAATATTTTCGCTCATTTAGTCAAAACAGAAACTTGGAAATTTTTTAAAATATTTCAAATAGTTAAATGAAATTGCTCATATATTAAATAAAAAAGATAAACTACTACATTATTTTATTCATGCTGTCGTACAAGGTACGTAATGCTGAAGTCCACTTTAAGATAATAAAACTCAAGTATTCTGTTTTACGTATTGTCTGCGAAATGCGATGAGTATAAAGACGAAGAAAACTGCCGCGGTCGATTAGGAATCACTTTTCAGTGAAATTATATATTGTTAAATATATAACGGTTTTGTACACACAAATAAATAAATATATATATATATAGTGTCACTTACACAATTTAATGTCGTTGCGATATCCTAAAAACTGTAATTGATTAAAAATATCTTGAAAAGCAAAAGTGCTGAATATTTTTAAATAGAAAAGTTAAATAAAAACGTATTTTACGATGCACGGAATGGTCGTAAGATAGATAACGTATTGGATTAATAGTAACTTGATTTGGTATAGAAATGTAATAGGTGATTTTTTTTTTAAACTGCACACCTGACAGAAAATGGGGATGTTCACATGAATAAAAATAACTAAATTCCAGTATTCTTAGTTCTGCAAGAGTGGTGTAGTCATCGGTTCAAAATATCAGACTTGTATAATAATACAATAAAACAGCTTCTAAGAAAAAGTTTTCAGAGGTGTACTTTCAATGTTAAGCCTATCGATAAATAATTATAGTAAAGAAGTGTCGTAAATACCATAATGCTCGACCCGACGGTCCTTGACAGGTGAGCTATTGGTGTCATGTCTACTTTGATCATGAAGTAGGCTAAATTTTATAAGCGAAGAAAATGTACATGGAATTGCTTCAGTAAAACTTAATGAATTCGTAATATACAATGTTTTAATTCTTTTAATATTTTTATCTGTTTTCGTCGTCTATGCAGAGCGTCAATTATTCTGTCAAAACTAGTAATATTTTATTTGCTACATTCATTTTCAAAAGTGACCCCTATAAAACTTTTGAGTAATACATACTTGACTCGTTTTTCGTCTCTGTTGATGTTACATAAGAGTGTGATTGGGCAATTTTTGCCATTTTATAAACAAACCAAATGAAATTTTACTTCAAAATCTGTTGGTAATTGAACAATATTTATTGCATGTACGTAACAATTTGTTCCTTAATTCACGCAAACTAAAAGTATCAAAAATGAAATCTCAATACGTTTATTTTATTTCGCTTACCCATGCTACCCAGACTTTCATCATAAGTAGAGTGATAACATAACACAGCCCTGTTACACCTATAAAATGGTGCAATGTCTTTGAAAAAAAAAGTGCTGGTGGATATATATGTATATATATATTTCTTTCAAGGAGGAAATTTTCAGAAACTAACTTCGTATAAGTAAGTACAAATAATTAATTTATACTGAAAATTATAATTACCTTTATAGAACTTCTGTCGGATTTTGTTGATTCTGTTAATAGATAAAGAACATGCCTATTAATGAGATAATAGTATAATAACGATAAACTATATGTTTAGAACTTATGCTGTGGTTAATATGCTTTTATAAAATAAATAAATAAATTAACATGAAATATTATAATTTTAAACATATTGATGAATATTTATTAGAAAATTCAATATTTGTTATTTAATTACATAAATTATTTAAAAATGTAAGGAAAATATTTGTACATATGGAATTGTAATCATAATTTATTATTATTTAGTCGTATACTATCCAAAGTTTAATGTAGTTCAATTCCATGCATATATACACCTGGTGGTTCAGCGGAAGTATGAGGGATTATAACACTAAAAAATCAGGTTTCGATACCGCGGTGAGTAGAGTACAGACAGCCCATTGTGTGGCTTTGTGTTTAATAACAAATAAATAAATCATACACACCTCTAATTTGTTTTAATTTGTTGGCTCGTTCTCTTTTTTATAAAACCATGACATGGAATTTTATATACCTTTAAAAGACACATCATTTACTAAAATTATTTAATCATGTAATTTTTCGTCTTTAATTATACAAAATATCTGTACAGGATTTTCTATCAGGCAGGATGAAATATTCAAGTTGTAGGTTAAACAAAAGAAGTGTTCAGCGCATGTATTATATCACTTTCATACACAAAACTATGAAATTATTG